CATTCACCCTGTTGGGGTTGTCCATGAATCCCCAGTCATGCCACTTGTTGGACACCGGGTGGTCAGGTATATGACCAGGTCGGCCTCGCCACCTTGACTGGAGTCGATGGTGGAGATGGTGAGCCTGCCGCTTGCAAGGTGTTCATCAGCGAGTTGCCGTAATCCGGGGAAGCACAGAGCGAGGCCGGCGAAAGGAGAACTGTACGGTACGAACACGCTTGCGCGGTCCTTGGCGTCAGTGGCGCATGTGGGGGGGCGGGAGGGGGGCCCGCCAGCCTGGGCTGACCCTTCCTTGCCCTTCCCTTTGCCCTCGGCCTTGGCTTGTCCGAGGGCGCCACTGATGCTTCTCCCTGACTGGGGCCGTCCATTTTCCAGGACTGCACACTGCAGCTGGTGACCCGCGACGACCCGCACAGTTGCGCCGTTATCAATGGCAGGCAGGAGTGCGCGCACGACGTCCACTGCCCGAGCGGCCTCCGGCAGGTTCGCGCACCCTGCATGGAGCCTTGAGGTGACCTCGACCTCGAGGGGGGGGTTGTCGACAAGGACGAACCTGCGCCGCTCTTCCTCGCGATGGGGACCTGGCGCAAGGTCCCGCAGCATCTTCCCCATGTCTTCCTTGGGGGTGGCCGTGGCCTCGGCAAGTGCTTCAAGCCTTTCGCCATCCCAGGGCAGTAGCCTCCGCCATGGTAGTCCCTCGATAAGAGGCCTCTGTGTGAAGGGGTCGGTGAGTCCAGAGCGCATTGTGTCGTTGTAGAAAGCTACGTTCGGCAATGACAGAAGCAGGGGGTGCATGCGGTAGCAGAGGCTTAGCTGCACCACGGCTGTTGTTTCGCCCCCCAAGGCGTTGTGCAGCCAAGATGGAGCGGCACAGCCCGAGGTCGGCGGCCTTTCTGGAAAGGACGGCGGGGGGAAGCTGCTTAGGGTCACCGACCAGCATCAGGTGTCCGCCTGAGCGGATGGCGCTGTCGAGCGACATGGCAGCCATAAGCTCATGGGCTTGCCCTGCCTCGTCAATGATGAGCAGGGCTACCGGGGCCGCATTCCTGAGGGCCTCCGCGGATTCGTGCGCTGCAATGATCGCCTTGGCGGCCTTGAGGAGCTGGGTACGGAATGCGGCGAATTCTTCGGAGGATCCGCCTTCGAACGGGGGCCAACCGTGCGCCCTGAGGAAGTGCCCTCCCGGGGTGAGCGAGGCTAATGCCTTCGCCTCTCGGAAGTCTCTGGCCACACGGGCGCATCTGTTGGGGTTGCCTGTCCCGCGCCCTAGTCTGCCCGCCTGGTGCGCGCTGCCGAGACCGAGGGCTGGCTGGCCCGCGGCCGCGTTGGAACCTGCAGTCAGCGCCACCGCTTGCCCTTCAGGGAAAGAGTCGGCCCACGCGTCCATGGTGGCGACTGAGAAGACTGTCTTGCCGGTACCCAGGGGTCCGTCTACGACAGTTACGTGGCGTTGCGTGGTGGCAGCGAGGGCCCGCGCGGCGTCGCCGTTGAGCCGGCGGCGCCTGGCGCCTTCGTCGAGCGCCACGGTAGAAGGTAGGTCCCTGACCCGTTGAAAGACCTGCCCGGTTGCATTGACCACTTCATGGTCGGAAAAGGGGGCATGGTCGGCGCCTCGGTCGGGCGTTGCGGCTCTGCCGCGCCGCCGCTCGCCACTGTGGGCGTCATGCCAGGGGCCTGGTCCTCGATGGTGGCCTTGGCACGTGCGAGGAGGGTTTGCCCGCAGACTATAGTGTTCTCCACGCTGTTGGCCAGCGTCTTGTTCTTCTTGTCGTTAGTGCGGAAGGTGAGGAGGTACGTGATGACGTCGAGTGGCGTAACAGCCAGATCTGCGGGGGCCTGCTGCAACTTGTAGATCTCGGTGATAGAGGTAGAGATCCGCGGGCACTGTAACCGGGGGGGCGCTTTGTCCAGCCTGTACCACGCGTCCCCCACTATGCTTGGCCTTGGGATCCTGTCGTCAGCGTGAAACTTCCCGTATCTGTCTTCGTCGTATGTAGCAAGGGCCTGGCTGCTGGGGTACTCAGTTCCCCGTCTGAAACCCAACGCGTCGCAGTCGCTTGCGGGAACAGTACCTCCGAAGTCGGGTGACCACAGAAGCTTGAGCGAGGCCACCTGATCCACGGATGGGCTGGTGATGCTAAGGAGTAGCGCGCGGGCTTCCTGCCCTGATTCCTGACCCTTGAGGAGGACCTTGAACTCTTGGGGCCATTGCAGGTGCAAAAGCAACTTCCCGTTCTGGGTGGGAAATGCATTCCGCAACTTGAACTGGTCGAAGAGTACACAGGGGGACTGCTCGTCGATGGGGGTGACCGACACGCCCAGCGCGCAGGTCTGCCTTCTTACCAAGTCTGGTTTGGCCTTGGTGGAGCCATCCCAGACGGTTTCGGTGGCCGCCATGCACTCGATCAACGCCAGCCTGTCAGGTGGGGATGCGGCTGGTGGGGATGCGCGCAGCGTCAGGAGTTGACGTGCATGCTGTAGGGAAACCCCTGCTAGTCCCACCAGCACCCTGGGTGTCCGCGGTGTGACGGGTCAGCTCCTCCAAGATGTACCCCCAAGCCCTTCCTCTTCGGGTGGGGTACCTGTCCCTCTATAAATCGGGGGCGCGCAAACATGGACTAGCGATCCATGGATCTGGCGCGCGGTCGCCCAATCCATGGATCGGGGGAGGTACCCTCCCCACAGTGAAGCCGGTGCCGCCTCGTTCGGCGGCGGATATCCGCGATTTCCCTGGAAACGGGACCTGTCGCTACAATAGGGGCCTGACCAGAAGAAGCCTTCCACAGGAAACCCAACCCTGAGACCGCAGGACGTCTATCGATTTCTAGCGTGGGAACGTCACGCTTCCCACAGCAAAACCATCGAGACCTAGGAAACCCAGGGCGCCCTGGAGGCAAGCAGGGTGCTTCTCGGCGTGGGCCCCCACTGCAATCCACGCCCCCTTGAGCCATGTTTGCGATCGCCTCGCCCGAGGCCTCCCCCGCGTTCCCCCCACGCAGAGAAAGGGGGCGTGGATTACAGTGGGGGCCCATGCCAAGAAACACCCTGTCTGCCTCCAGGGCGCCCTGGGTTTCTTGGGGTTCGATGGTTCTGCCGTGGAAAGCGTGACGTTCCCACGCCAAAAATCGATGGACGTCATGCGGTCTCAGGGTTGGGTTTCCTGTGGAAGGCTTCTTGTGGTCGGGCCCCTATTGTAGCCCTCCATACCCGCCCTCTTTTTTTGTGTCCACTGGCCCAGTGTGCCTCTGCACAGCGCGTCCCGCTGGCGGACCGAACGCGTTGGCGTCCGCCCTCGCCGCGGACCCCCCCCCCAAAAAAAGGTGCGCCCCCGCCCCAAAAGGCGCCTCCTCCTCCTCCCCCCCTCCCTCCTCTCTCCTCCTCCTCCTCTCCTCCTCTCCTCCTCTTCCTCCCTCTCCCCCTACTCCCCCCCTCCTCCTCCCCCCCCTCCCCTCCTCCCCTCCTCCCTCCTCCCCCTCCCCCTCCTCCCCTCCTCCCTCCTCTCCCCCCCCCTCCCCTCCCCTCCCCTCCTCTCTCCCTCTCCCTCCTCCTCCTCCTCCTCCCCTCCTCCTCCCCTCTCCTCCTCCTCCTCTCCTCCTCTCCTCCTCCCTCCTCCTTCCTCCTCCCCTCTCCTCTCCTCTCTCCCTCCTCCTCCTCTCTCCCTCTCCTCATCCTCTCCTCCTCTCTCTCCCTCCTCCTCCTCCCCTCCTCCTCCTCCCTCCTCCTCCTCCTCCTCCTCCTCACTCCCCTCCTCCTCCTCTCTCCTCCTCTCCCCTCTCTCCTCTCCTCCTCCTCTCCTCCTCCTCCTCTCTCCCCTCCCCTCTCCTCTCCTATCTCCTCCCTCCTCCTCCTCCTCTCCTCCTCCTCCCTCCTCCTCCTCCTCTCCCTCCTCCTCCTCCTCTCCCCTCCTCCTCCTCCTCCCCCCCTCCTCTCCCCTCCTCCTCCCCTCCTCCTCCTCCTCCTCCTCCTCCTCCTCCTCATCCTCCTCCCCCTCCTCTCCTCCTCCTCCTCCTCCTCCTCATCCTCCTCCTCAATCCTCCTCCTCCGCCTCCTCTCCTCCTCCTCATCCTCCTCCTCCTCTCTCTCTCCTCTCCTCTTCTCTCCGCTCTCCTCCTCCGCCTCCTCCTCCTCACTCCTCTCCTCCTCCCCTCCTTCCTCTCCTTCTCATCTCGTCCTCCTCCTCCTCCCCTCCTCCTCCTCATCCTCTCATCCTCCTCCTCCTCTCCTCCTCCTCCTCCTCCTCTCCTCCCCCTCCTCCTCCTCCTCCTCTCTCCTCCTCCCCTACCTCCTATCTCCTCTTACCTCCTCTCCTGCCTCCTCCTCCTCCTCCTCCTCCTCCTCCTCCTCCTCCTCCTCCTACCCGCGGACCCCCCCCAGGTCGAAACATGTCTATATCCGCCGCCTGCCGAGGTCACCGGGGAGCGATCCCCTGGGCGATGCCTGTGGATAGAGCCCCGCCTCGCACGAAGGGCCTGCGGCTATTTTTTCTAGGGGGGAACGCGCCACTGATCTGGTTGCCAAGGACGGGCGCCGGCGCAGAGACAGAGCAGCCACCCAATCAACATAACATCCGGAGGGCTTTCGGAGGACCGCCAGAGTTCGCCAGAGGCACCTGGACGAATCGCTGCCGCTGCCGCTGCCGCTGCTGTCGATCGATCGCTCGAGAATCGAGGCTCGGCGACTCAGGGGCTGGCCTCTCTTGGACGCCCTCGGCCCTCCCGGGGCCAGGCCTCCGCATGCCCCCGCAGGCCTGCAGCAACCTCCAGGGAGACCTCCTGAGACCGCCGTCGTCGTCGTCGCCGCCAGCAACTGCCGTCGTCGTCGTCGCCGCCGCCGCCGCCGTCGTCTTCGTCGTCTTCCTCGCCGCCGCCGCCGCCGCCGCCGCCGCCGCCGTCGTCGTCGTCGTCGTCGCCGTCGCCGATGTCTTCGTCGCCGTCTTCGTCGCCGCCGCCGCCGCCGCCGTCGTCGCGTCGTCGTCGGACGCTTGCCCGCGGCTGCGGCGCCTTCGGCTCGGGCACGCGCGGCTCGGGCGGCTGCCTCGGGGGCTCCGCGGCAGCCGCGCTGGCCGCGGCGGGGGAGCCTCCGCCAAGGGGCGGCCCGCCGGCGTCCAGCCAGGAGGCAGCCGCGTGCCTGGCTGGGGGGGGTTCTTTTGCGGCGTCTCGACACTGGGCGGAAGGCAATACGTGTGCCACATCTCAGGGCGAGGTCAGCAAAGTAAGCACGTATGCCCTGCATGGCTCGCTCTCTGGGCAGGGCAGGGAGGAAAAACCGAGTCGCGAGCCAGGTACACGCTCGCCCGCCAAGCGGCGAACAAGCTTTGTATGATTGCGGATGGCGCGAACACAGGGGGCCACATGGGTACCCCTACCCCCCACGATTTCTGAGGGGGAGGGTGGGGTTCACGTCCTTCGGGAGCTCCCGAGCGAAGTGAACCCCACGCTCCCCCTGAGAATTCGTGGGGGGTAGGGGTGGGTTCGCATGTGGCCCCTAAGGGGGGGGGAGGGGGGGGGGTCTGGCTCAGGACCTGTGCTAGTGTTGGGCCAGGCATGTCCTCCTACAGGGGGATTGTGGATGAAGAATGAAACTAACTCAAAAATATTGTAAAAAGTAATCAAAAAACAACAACAAAAATCGTCCGCAGACTATGTTTTGACTATGTTTGACTATTCCTCCTGTAGAGGGACAGGCCCGACTTAAGCTTCGTGCCACTGTTTGCAGCAGTGCGTCCTGTGGGGGAGACCCCGCCTGCTCGAAACAGGCGCCAAAAACAGCCAGGATCTACTCCACGGGGGAGGACGGGAGGGTTCGAGGGCCCGCGCCGATCGGCAAAACAATCAATAAGAAACGATCACAAAAACAGTCCTCAAGAGCATGAGGCCCTGAAGGTGATTCGGGAAGACCTTGGGAAGGGGCTCTGCATCCTCGAGACACGCGTGAGTACGCATTTGGATCCAAAGACATGGCAGGACACGTTCACACCTTCAGGAGTTGAGGTTGCAGGGGTTCGCCCGAGACGAGCGTCTAAAGCTTCAGGCTGGCGCAAACATGAGGCCCTCCGTCGGCCAAGCCGTTGGTTGACCCAAGGGGGCGTCCAGCTGAAAGGAGGTGGTGCACTGTGCTGGAGAATTAAGCTGCGTCGGATTGCGCCTCATGTGTCGCACGCGAAAATCAAGCATTGCACTTGTGCACCAGAATGTGCTGCACGCGCCCCATATCTACTTGTAACCCCACAACTAGATTGCACCAAATCTATTGCACGACCCTCTTTTCGCTGGACCCCCTTTTGGGTCAACCAGGGAAACACACAGAACATCCAAGGGTACCATCCCAAGGATGCACAGGAACATCCAACAGACACGAAGAACATCAGGGTACCCTCCCCGAACCGACCTCGATCTCATGCCTCGGTCCGACTGTATGTACGTGCACCGATCTTGGGCCCAAGATGACGGTAAGGATAACTCGAAAATCTCTGAGACCCGCCGGCTCTGGAGGATGTGTCGGGCGCCGCGGCCTTCTCAGAAGGTTCCAGAACGCTGGGAGCGTGTCCAGGAAGGCTCCGGAACGGATTTATCCTCGTCGTGGCCCCGCCCGAGTGAGGTATGCGCGTGTGCCGATCCTGGGCTCAGCACTGCGGTCAGGAACTTTCACACGGCGTGTCGCGGTGGCGGCCCCGGCGACACATGTCATGCCCCTGCGAGGTGATGGCTTGTCCCTCCGCTCCGCAGGGCGGGAGGCCAGGAAAGGCTCGGGGCGCAGCCGCGCGGGCATGGGGACGTGGGCACCACAAGAAACGAAACGAGAAAAATAAAAAACGAAACGAAAGTTACGTCGGGCCTATCCCCCTACAGGGGGATTTTGGAGAAAAATGAAAAATACCCCAAAAATGCAAAACAACAAAAAAAACGAATATACTCAAATGACAGTCCCCTGTCTATTTTTTGCCTATTTTTGAATATTCCCCCTGTAGAGGGACAGGCCCGACTTGAAACGAAAAACAACGAAAAGGCCCAAACCCAGGCTGAAGAGCGGTGTGGCCCGCCCTTGACTTGCCATCGTTCCCCCTCTCCCTCGTTCCCCCGTCTGCTCCCTCACGGCTGGCCTCCCGAGAGTGTCGCCGCGTGTCCCCTGTGATGGATCCGAGCGTCTTCCGCGGCTTGCGCCGGACTGGCGCGTGCGCTCCGGCTGCTTTTGCTGCGCCGCGCCGCCGCGCGCGTGGCCACGACGTCGAGAAAGCTGGGGAGGTATGTACAGGGCAGTTTTTAATACATGGGATTTCTAAAAATATAGAATGCTTAATATATGATCAACTTATGGATAAAATTATGCATACACTCATCGTTGATTGTAATACTAAATCCCTGCATTTTTGATACATGATCCGCACGCGGAGCATGTATTAAAAACGGCACTGTATGTAGGAGAGAGCGCGCCCGTGGTACACTCCCGAAGGAAGGGGGTTCCCCCTTAGCCAGCAACTCCCTTGGACCTCCCCTGCCCGAAGCACCCCCCCCCTTTTTCCGCACCCCTCCCTTTCGCGCTCCGGAGACTACCGCCCCCCCCTCCCGGGCCAAAGGAGGGTTTCGCTACCCTCCCCCCCTTGCACCTCCCCTGCCAAAAGACCCCACCCTCCTTTTTGTTCCGCCCCTCGGGAGCGACCCCCCACTCCCCCCTTTCGCGCTCCCGAAGCTACCCCCCCCCTCCTTTTCCAAAAGGGAAGGGGGGCTTGGCCAACACCCCCCTCTGAACCTCCCGATCCGGAAGCCCACCCCCCCCCGTCTCCCCCCCTTTTGGGCTACAGGGGAGGGAGGGGCTTGGAAGCCACCCCCCTTTTGACTAAATGAAGAAGCGCCGAAGACCAAAAGGGCGCCGAAAATCAACAGAGCGCCGAAAACCAAAGTGCCACCGAAAAACGAAAGGGTACGAAAGCCAGAGGCGCGCCGAAATCCGAAGGATCGCCGAAAACCGAACGGGCACCGAAAACCGAAGATGCGCCGAAAACCAACAGGGCGCCGAAAACCAAAGGAGCGCCGGAAACCAAAGGTGCGACAAAAACCAAAAGGGCGCCAACAACCAAAAGAAAGCCGAAAACCAAAGGAGAGCCGAAAAGCAGCGGGGCGCCGAAAACGAAAAGAGCGTAGAAAACCAGAGCAGCGCCGAAAACCAAAAGGGCGTCGAAAATCGAAGAGCACCGAAATCCAAGAAAGGCGCCAAACACCAAAAGGTGGCCGAACTTGAAAAGGACACCGGAAACCAAAAGGGCGCCGAAACCCAATAGAGCGCCGACAACCAAAGGTTCACCAAACATAGCAACGCACAGAGAACCAAACCGGTGCCGAAAACCGAAGGGGCGCCGAAAACCAAAAGAGCACCGATAACCAAAGCGGCGCCGAAAATCAAAGGAGCGCCGAACACCAAGAGGGGCGCCGAGAACAACAAGGGGCGCCGAGAACAAGAGGAGCGCCGAAACCGAAAGGGCGCCGAAAGCCAAAGGGGCGCCGAAATCCAAGGGGGCGCAGAAGACCAAAAGGAGGACGACAACCAGAGCAGCGACGAGCACGAAAAGGGGCGCCGAACACCAAAAGGGCGCCGAAAACCAAAAGGGCACCGAAAACCAAAAGGACGCCGATAACCATGAGGGCGCCGAAAACAAAAGGGGCGCCGAAAACAGCAGAAGCTCCGAGGACGGACAGGGCGCCGAAAACCGAAAGGGCGCCGGAAACCAAAGGAACGCCGAAAAACGAGCGAACGTCGAAAACCAAAGAAGCGTCGAAAACCAAAGGGGAGCCGAAAACCAACGATGCACCGAAAACCAAAAGGGCGCCGAAAAACCAAAGACGCTCCGATAACCAAAAGGGCGCCGAAAACCGCAGGGCGCCAAAACCAAAGGCGTGACGAAAGCCGAAGGGCGCCCAAAACCAGAGGGGCGCCGAAAACCAAAGAGTGCCGAAAACCAAATGGGCGCCGAAAATTAAAAGGGCGCCGAAAATCAAAAGGGCGCCGAATACCAAGAGGGCACCGAAAAACCAAAAGAGCGCCGAAACCCAAGAAGGCGCCGCGGACGAACGATGCGCCAAAAACCAAACGGCGCGCAAACAACCAAAAGAAGCGTCGAAAACCACAGGAACGCCGAAAACCAAGACGGTGCCGAAAACCAAAGGAACGCCGAAAAACAAAAGAGCGCCAAAGGCCCAAGGGGCGCCGAGAACCAGCGAGGCACCGAAAACCAAAAAAACACTGAAAAGCACAAGTTCTCCGAAAACCAACGGGCCACCGAAAACCAGAGAGGAAAAATAGCTTCGACCCCCCCCATTCAACCAGGGCCCTCCTACTGGACAAGCCAACACGAGGAGGGGCGGGAGGGGAGGTAGGTTCGGCCCCCCCTTTGGGAAATTACCCTGGGCCCCGACAAGGAGGGGAGTGGTTTCTAGCTTCCAAATCACCCCCCCACTTCAGTGAGGGACCGCCCCGGCTACAAAATCCAGTGGAAAAGAGGGGGTAGCTTCGGAAGCCCGGGGAGCCCAGGCTGCCCCCGCGGGCCCCGAACAAAAGAAAGGCAGGAGGGGGGTGATCCTCCACATCTACCTCCTCCTCGGTCGACCGAGCCTCTGGATTTTCGGGCTTCGTACGTCGGAGCCTGGAACACCAACCTCTGGAGGTTCGGGCTTCGTACCGCGGAGCTTGAGACACGAACGGCTTGCTGGCCAGGCTCTTGCCACCCAACCTTCGAGAAATGAGACAACGCCAAATATCATGAGGAAACAAAAGGAAACAAAGAGAAGCGAGGTTCGAACGATGACCTCGGGAGGCTCGGGTTTCCAATGTTGGATCAACCATAAAAATTAAGCGGGAAGCTAAAGAACCAGTAGGAAACACATTCACATGGAACGAGAAGTAACACGAAGTATCCCTAACCAGATAAAGAACACATGTGAACGTGATAAAGAAGCATACATGACATGGACATATAAGCGCATGACGTATGCGGAAACATCCGGGTTCGGCGCGTGCACTGTTCATAATGGCCTTTCCATGTACATCATACCAAAGACAGCCTCACGAGCTCACATCGGGCGCTGCGCGCACGCCGAGGCGACATGGGCCCAACAAGTGACCAAAAGTATGCGACT